TGAGCTTTTCGTGCTTCTGAATTCCATTTATTCGTTTCTGCACATTATACAGTAGTTCTGCACCTGTCTCTTTTCATCTGTGCTGTCCTCCTCAGCACCCTACTCCCCGATTCTGAACACTCGGTGCTTGCTATGACACTTCTGCGAGAAGGGAATTCACTATCTCCCTTTCGTCGAGTGTCATGGCCTGGATCGTTGTGTCACTATGGACCTGACCATTGCCACGTGCAGCTCTGTCTGGCTGAGCAGCCCCCACTGCTCATACTCTTCCTCACCTTGCGATATTTTGTTTCTTCGAATCACAGAGTTCTAGCCCCTCTAGTCTCTTTTGTTTTCTTTCAGCGGCACAACGTTCTATGCTTTCGTGCTTTTTGGGCAATACGTGTGATGACTAAGTGTTCTAGGTTGGTTACTGCTGGCTGACCTGTACATCAATCAGAACAAATCCGAACAAGCGAACACAGTGCTGCGCACAGTACTGCAGCATAATGCGGTTTGTTTCGGTTCTCATTTGCTGTCGTGCGTATGTGGAGTACCAAACTCATTCCGAGCCCTTGTTTTGAGGCACACAAAGAGAAACTTTGCAAGAAGTGTACAGCAGATGCCGCTAGGTGAGCATGAACTAGAAAAGGTTGCAAAAAGTACGTAAGGGAGCTCGTAACCCGCGATTCACTAGGCATATTTTGCCATAGAATGGTAGCTTCTTGTACGAATTAGTTGATTTCGAAGGGATGGTAGGCCTGTCTACCCGCTTGGGAGTCGACTTCAATTTGTATTCGCGAAAGGAGCCTATGAAAAGCAGCGTCATTTTCTGCTGCACCACAGCTGTCTCCAATTTTCTATTTTATCGAAATTCATTCGAAATTTCCTTCAGAGTTCAATAAAGGCGTTCGAATTCCTCGGTTATTTGCGAGAGCGTGAACAGAAATTCAATGACGCTGCAGCCAATTATGATGATGCATGGAAATTGAGTCGAATGAGGAACCCAGCAATTGGTTAGTTTTTTTACTCGCGATCCCCGCCTCAAACAGTGCGCTTGCTCTTCTAAAAGAAGTGATATGTCACACGAGACAGATCGTTGAGGGCTGGGGACACAAACCTTCTAGGTAGTTAACACTACCTTGTGATCGCGGTCCGCCCTTAGTAGCCTGTAGGTTTTGGGATAATATTTTATGACTTGTTGACTTCTCATGCGCAGTACTTATATGTCAAACCAATCAGGTCCTGGTGTGAATACCGTGGTCGTGCTCCATTTGCCAAGCCTTCTTTCGCCGCCATCGCCGCGACATGAAACTAGCGTTACCGCAACCGCATCAAAACTTCGCTTACGTTTACCCGCCATTGAGGGATTTTCTCCCTGTTACTGTGTCGCGATTTGCGGAAATTGGTCCCTCTTTGATCCCCATCTTCCGGACGAGCATAAGCACACATACGATACACACATACCATAATTTTCTTCTGCAGCGTTCCATATTATTTCTTTCTCATCGCCCTTCATGCTCTGAAATTATCTGGTTGAAATTATTATTAGATTAAATTACTGGTTAGCGGACCTAGACGCAAAAAGTTGACAGTGGCAGCGGGTAACACTCGTTATGTCAACGGGCGAAGGGGAGGGCTTGGCTGCGTAGTCCAACTGAGCATAGCGTAGGACCCGTTTATAGTGAAAAATTTCCATCTGTGACAACTGTCATGTTTTTTTGTGTTGAGTAGAGACATGGTTACAGTATGATCCCGAACATCCAGACAAAGCGCTAGCCACTTTTAATCACCAGTTGACGGACATGCGCGGTTTTTGCTTTTTGGACCCGCGATGGGACACTGGCGCGGGTTTCTCGAACGTCAAACCAGCGCGGTACACACATAGTTCAGACGATCCCACGAGGCGCTTTTTTTGGAAATTGGATCGGAAAACTGGATTAGAGCGCAGTTATGAAGTAAGTTAATACTTCAGTATAGAAAAAACCTGGCTGGCTAACTCTCGTTGCACTAGATGCCAGAAATAACTGTCGTGCGAAACAAATGTTTTCATAAAAAAAGGTGTATCGTGCCCTCCATACGCGCTTCGGGAATTCTTCACCCTAAATTGTTGTACCCAATTATCAAACATTGTATCGATCAGCATTTTCTCAAGCTAAGTGTTGCGAGAGCCAACAACCATTCCCAGTTTGAAGAACAAAACCTCAGTCGCCGAGCAATGGTGATCTTTACCCAAGAAAGTATTTGTACAACTAGTGGACTGAACTTATTCCATGCGGACTACGGCATAGCTAGGAGCTACACCATCGGGCCTGAACTATACAATGTATTAGCAGAAGACTACTAAAAAAAACCATGAAACTGCTTGGAAAGATAGGGATTTGTTGAATCGTGCAGTTGTATAAGTATGCCCACGCAGTCCCCAACTGGCCTACGACCGCGTGCATTCAATGTGTCATCACGCGAGTCGGTCAATGTGTTAAGTTGATTTTTCCATTGCGCGGCCATCGCCTCCATCAACGGGATGTAGGCGCTGTATTCGTAGTTGCGACGGCCCGCACAGTGTTATCACCTTGAAAGACGAGTTTTCGCTTCCGATTTTCTACTGTCCTGTTCATTTTTTAGCAATTGGTCTGGCTTATTTCTTAGTATGCTGTACGAAGTTAACGAGTTGCGAATTTGATCAGTTTTCTTTGCAGGGTACAAACTAGCATACAATCTTCTCAAATGCAAGCGTCTGTTCGATTGTATTGAAGTATGTCATCATGTGCTGAAGCTTTATCCCACATATCCGAAGATTAAGAAGGAGATTATGGATAAGGCCAGGCTGAGCATACGCTCCTAGCCAGGTCGTTTGTTACCACTGTTCTGTTGTTTCTTAATTTATTTATTGTTGTATATATAAATATTTGCAATCTAACTGTGTGCGTCTACTCATGGTAAGTTTTCCTCTTTTGTTTTCTTGGTGCTGGAAGAAGCTTGGCAAAAGCTTGGGACGAATACTAGAGGGACTTAGCAAGTCAAATCAAAACCAGATTTTCTTGTCGACGCTGTGTGTAGAGCTATACTCACAGTTGCAACACATGCGACTCAATAGTCCTTGCAAGCGAGTTTCTATGCGCAGTTTTCGCACCAGGACCCACTATTTCCACGTTGTGCTGCAGCGCGTGGACTCTGTCTGCGTCTGCATATCTTAAGTTGACTAGTTCTTCCTACATTTGGGTTCTAGTCAACTAGCTAGGGAATATTCTGCGTCTCTGCCGTGACGCTGGACTGAGAAGTAACGCTGAGACTCGTGCTATTTTCGCCTGACGCAGTACAATTTTGCCACTGGCGTTATAATTGACTTCAAAGAGCAGTTTTATTATCAGGAAGTTGCGCGCAATTGTGCGATACCAAGGACTGCTTTCTCCATTGTCGGGTATGGCTAGAGCTTGTCTTCAGAAACTCAACCCAACTCGAATATCACATTCGCTTGGCTCGAAACTGTTGGGCGCCCGCGTCACAGGCGATGACATCCACATTTCTGTTTCGATGACGGTGAGTGTGGCACGGACTCCAGGCTTTTTCGTACCAAGCATTATGCCTGTACAGATAGGAAAATAGGGCGAGACAAAGCACCACTTGTTGTGCTCTTCTGTGACTCTACTTTTTACTAAGGCCCAGAACCACTTCTACTTCGCGAGAAGGGGCAGGCGATTATAAGGCCGCGCTTCACATCTTCCTTCCTCCCTTGACCCCATCCTTAGCTTCCTTGGACGAGATATCCGTGTTGAGGAGGTCAAACTACTCATAGAGACAAGTTTTTAGTGAATTTGATGATTTGGAGCGATTCGGAGCCGGTGCTGATTCGGGCGCGGCAGACACTTTCCTACCGATACAATAATCACGCATCAGTAGGCCAGAAAACCGGAGAACACTTCCCTGACAAATCGATGCTCTAACCCAA